CTTACTTAACTATAGGACTTGAACAACTTGTGATCTTTCCTGTTGCGCTACTTCTATTTTCAGTATTGGAAGGAGTATACAGTGTATTTCATGCGAAGTTTGGAAATAAAGCTTACTTTCACTAGATAAGCATGTAGATTTTCAGCAAGAAACCTGTACTTAGAGAGAGGAAGGAAGGAAGGAAGGAAGGAAGGAAGGAAGGAAGGAAGGAAGGAAAGAAGGAGAAGGAAGGAAGGAAGGAAGGAAGGAAGGAAGGAAGGAAGGAAGGAAGGAAGGAAGGAAGGAAGGAGAAGAAAGAAAGAAAGAAAGAAAGAAAGAAAGAAAGAAAGAAAGAAAGAAAGAAAGAAAGAAAGGAAGGAAGGAAGGAAGGAAGGAAGGAAGGAAGGAAGGAAGGAAGGAAGAAAGAAAGAAAGAAAGAAAGAAAGAAAGAAAGAAAGAAAGAAAGAAAGAAAGAAAGAAAGAAAGAAAGAAAGAAAGAGAAAGCAAGCAAGCTGCCACCAGAACTCCTGGCACGTGTAAATCAGTATATTAGTCTTCTGAGGTTGTGTTTGAAGAATATAGTACTACATTTGATGAATAAGGTGGATGATTTTGAGTAAAGTTTTTGGAGTAAAAAATAAGAGTGACAAATATTAAAAACTGATTTTATTTATGTGGCTTACAAACTGAATTTAAAAATGGTCCCCAGAAGAAGGTTTTTTAATGTTTTGAGCTTTGGAGAACAAGTGAATCAATGTGTTACTTCCTAAGGAGGGTACTTTGAAGAAATAAATTCACTTGGATGATTAATTACGGATATTTTTTACAAAGGGCAATTCTGAATTAGCTGAGCAAATTTTACTTCAAAATCCTGTAGGATAAAACCTTAAAAAAAGTCTTTGAGTAATCAGGCAATAATTAAGACAGTCAAAAGACCTTCTAATTAACATTAGGTGAGGGAATACTTGAAAATGGAATTCATATTAACTAGAAATTCCAGATGACATGCATCTTTATTAAAAGAAACTGCAGTAAACAGTACACTAATTAAACTTTTAAATACACAGTATAAGAGGCTTTAAAAATGCCAGTAAGGAAAGAGAAATAATATAATGGCTTTTTATTTAAAATATTAAGCAATAGAGATGAAAAATAATAAAATTAGCCTTCAAAGTTTATAAGTTTCCATATCTAGAAAAATACCACAATTACATGTGTGAATGCCTCAGTGTTTTTCTTGATTTTAGGATCTATTTTATTGACTAGCTGTGATTAAATTTTTTAACAAAATTCTCTGAATATGGTGAAATCACTTACGCATTCTCAGAGTCCATTTTTTTCTCTTAATATTTTCAAAGACTAAGACTCTGGCCGATGTAAGGGGGATGGGAATCAAAACATCATTCATCTAAATTTCAGATCATGTGAATGTTAAACACACCATCTCTCTCATTATACTTTAAAAGAGTAATTTCTGCCTTTAGTATACATTTTAATAGCTTTAAGGTATTTTCTGCTTTCTGGCTCAATTCGTCTTTGTATTTCCCATTACCTGTTTCCAGCTCTGTGCTCAACTATATCAGGGATGTATTTCATTAAGAAAACTCAGAATTCTCTTGGCCAGCTCTGTGGCCTGGTCATCCAGGCACCCAGATCTCACATTCAGTTCCTAGGCCTGGCAGACCTAAGAAAATGCTGAGCACACATGTGTGAGTGCCCAAATCTCAAGAGGTGGAGAAACAGAAGAGAAAGGATTGCTGCGTGCCCGTGCCCCATGGTGGGGTGGGGTGTTTTCTCCCTCTCCTTCTTTCTCTGCCTCTCTCTGGGAGTGCATGTGTCCTCTGGCAAAATTAATAAAACAAATAACACACTTGTAACATTTGAGAATCTTGTATTTTTTCTCCTCACCATTCACTTCTCACTTCTTTTTGTCTCTGTTCTATGCTTATCTAAATTTGGCTTTCAAAACCTTCCCTATGTAACTTCTTCAGTGAAAAATGTCTCTTTCTTCCCAAAGAGATGGAATAATTTTCTGCTCTATGCTCTCAAGCCTCTTACCAGTTACTATCATAAATTAGAGGTCCCTGAATGACTCTCACTTCCCCTCCTCAACTCTTAACTTTCTATACCTACTTTATTTACTATTCTCTTCAGTGTCTAGTACATCAGCAGCAATTAACATATTATTAATATGCATTTTAATTAATAAATTACCTCTTTTAAAAGGAGATATAGAAAGGAAATCCGTTTAATTTTTCTTAAGGAAATACGGATATAGAGAAGTATGTATAAGTTTAAAGATCTCAGAATAACCTGAATCAGATGATAATTAACAGGATAGATATTTTCAGTTAGAGCAAATAGACTTTAAAACTAAATTGCAATTATAAACCAAAGCAATAGCTCTTTCACAACTAGGGTGACTGTTGCATGCTTTTATGTTAACAGTATACTAAATCTCCCCTTTGTATGGAAGATAATGCACTGTACAGTGACCAGTTACCAAAAACATGCTACCTATTACTCTGTGCAACATTATTTCATTCTGATGAGCTTCTGTTTCCTCATCTTTAAGATAAGAATTATTATTTTAAGCTTTACCTATTTTGTACGTTTGTTGTGAGAGATAAGATCATGTAGATGAAAGTACTTTGTAAACTATGAAGTTCTATTGAGTCATCAGAGAAGTCATGATGTGTTAAAAAAAAAAAGAAAAGTCATGAAGTGTTTTTCTATGCAAAGATGCATTATGACTTTTCCAATGACCAATATATAAATGTAAGGGTATGTGAGGGACACTGATATAGGGACATTTAAATAGTAATCTGAGAATGAGTGAGTGGATGACAAAAAACAGGTCAGATTCTTTTGGGTCAAATTTATATGAAATATTTTATGAAATGCTTGAAGCAAAAAGAAGATTCTGGTGTGCAATAACTTAAGTTTCCATCAAAAAGAAACTGAGTATTTCCAAAGGGGCAAATATTAAGATTACTTTGTTGCTTTTGGAGTTTTATAAGATTGCAAATTCAATCTGATGAATCCTTATAGATGGGAGAGTTCCAGACCTGAAATAATCTTACATCTAATTTACTGGGTATTACCAATTAGGAAGAATGATTTTCTTTCTTTCTCTCATACTATTGAGGTCAGTTTAATAAAAGTGTAAGGCCTTTTCCAACATCCTTCATGCCATTCTGAAGATTTAATACACTCTCTGAAAGGGGAGATGGAATTTGAAATTCAAGGATGGGAAAGGATCTCAGCATTCATTTATTCTAAACAACCTCCAGATATGGAATCCTTCTAGAGAACCCTCACTATGTCTAATCTTGACCTTAACAGATCTCAGAGCAAAGGATGGAAATCAACTGTTGGTACTTAGGTCAACTAGGCTTTTCTTTATATTTTACTAGAAATAATCTCCCACCATTTTTTCTTTATTTCTTATAGGGCATGTGCATTACCAGAGACAGAGAGAAAGAGGCAGAGGCAGAAAAAGTGAGAAATCTTTCCTCAGAGGGGATGACCACACCGGATTCCTTTCTCTTTCATTCTCCTCTCTGGATTCTGGGCATGCACACGTGCCTGGCGTGAGTTTCAAGTCACTGGGTCCAGGACTTGAACCATGCAGTTGGTCATGTAGTATCAAGTTGCCCCAACCTCTGGGGCACCTGCTGGCCCCAATCTTTTACCATTTTTGATGAGTCCTGAAAGCTTAGGTTTGCCCATATGCAGAACCTCGTAACTAACATAGAAGCACATACTACACTGCTGTTCCATAGTCACTCCTTCCCTTGTCAGTCAGGCCAATGGTATATCGTTTAAAATTAGCTGGGGTTATTAATAAATATATTTTCAGTTTTAATGAGAGCTAATCAGCATATCTATAGACATTTTCTAAAAATACTAGCTCTGTTAGGACTTTGCTGTTACCTACACAGTTCTAGTTTCTTCCCCGTAGGGGTCACTGAACAGAGCCTATCTTAAATAACAAATGAATTCTGATGAGTTAGATTCTGTTAAAGTCACTCTGACCTCTCACAGCCTGAGATGGGCCTTGAGGTTTATAAGCTTTTAAAAGTTACATAATCAAACTTCCAAGATGTCGGTAAATGATTTGGCTAATTGTCACACCATGTTTATGGTTAATGTTAAACTTTTGATTTAGGTTGGCAGTAATTAATAAGCATAATGAACAGAATCCTTATCTCATATATTTTGGAAAATTGTACTTAAGTTCAAAGAGAAAAAAATAAAATGATCTGAACCCAAAGTAACCATGTTTCTTCCCTCCCCTTCACCCCACAACTCAAAAATAAACATTTAACTTGGTGTGAAAATTGAAAAACTTTATGTCATAGTTAAAACATGAGTAGTCAAATGAAATGAAGGGGGCCCAACAGTGGCTCAGTGGTTCAATGTGATGCTCTGCAACAAGTACTCCCCTGGGAAGGTTCTGGTTTTGCATCTGAAGGATCCCTGACTACACTACCCACATGCATGCCCATTCCTCAGGGCTGGCTGAAGGCTATGCACTATGGGTGGATTGCAGCATCCAGGCACTGTTGAGGGTGCGTCTCTCTTGATAATGGAAGAGATAAATAAACTTTTTTAAAAAGAAACTAATATTGCCTAGTGAGTTCTTTCATGTTACCTTCATATCATGTATTGGGGGTTAGCTACACACACACACACACACACACACACACACACACACACACATATATATGACTTCTCTAGAGCATAATTTACAATTCAAGTATATCAGAAAAATATATTACCTGCTCCTAGTGGGGGAACAGTCATTTTTCAAGTCATCATTACATTCGGGTGATCTAATATGTAAACTGATGACACTGAGTTGCTTTTAAATCAAATTCTATCAGCTAAAATCTGTGTTACAATAAAAACTACATATAGAAATCGAAGCTCTCTGTTTAATGTGTTTATGGTGATTTATCTGTGTTTATTTATATGTTATATTAGACTTTAACAATCTCTCTCTGCATCTCTCTTAGAAGACAAAGGAAAGTTAAAAGCCAACAATTCCAGCCAGCTGCCCAGCTCTGAAGGGGGCTCATTTCTCCTTAAATCTGGCACAACACCCTTACCGCCTGGTGCGGCTGTGTCTCCTTCCAAGAGTACAAATGGAGCTACCAGTACTGTTACTGAATCAGAAGAGGAAAAAGCCAAAAAGTTACTCTACTGCTCACTATGCAAAGTGGCCGTGAACTCCCTGTCACAGCTAGAGGCACACAACACAGGTTAGCAGCTCTCTCTTTAATTTAAAGAACATTGATTAAAAAAAAAACTTTCCAACACAATACCATGTCTTCTCTTGTTTGAATATTAGGTTTGTTCAATGTCTTTTCTACTTTTTTGATTCAAAAGAGTGATTCTAGTACACTAAGATCATAGCGACTTTGGAAATTGTGAGATGAAAGCAAGTTGGAGCTAAAACTTGTCCCATTCTCTATTTCCTTAAGAGCATCTAACATTTCCTAAAACTTGTTCTGAAGTGACAGAGAAGACAACATACACAATATTTACCACAACACACTTATAAGAGAAAAAAAAGAAAGCAATCTAAAAGTGAGGTGATAGGGAAAATATTGTATAAATTATAGTAACCGAGTATGGCAAAATATATTAGAGCCAATGCCATGACACAGTGACAGCATGCTGCTCAAGAGAAGCCAGCCCCCACAGGGTAAGTGCAATTTGAGTCCTTGGCCTGGTCAGTCTAAAACATGCCAAGCACATGTGTGACTATCCACCATTCAATGGCCAGAGGACTGGAAGAAGGGGAACGTGACATGAGCAGACAATGTGGAGGGTACATTTCTCTCCCTCTTTGGTGTGTGTGTGCAGGCACTGTATCATAAATGAAGGAGAAAATGTCATGTCTTACTCAGCCACTAAAATGTAATAATAAAAATAATGTACATGACTTGATAAGTGAAATTTCCAGGATATTTAATTAGCATAATCTTAATTATGAAAAAATATTTTTTAGTATATATATATTTTTTGAGAGGTTTTTGCTATAGGGTACGTGCACTCGCCAGACAGACAGAGACAGACAGAGAGATAGAAGGCGAGAAATCATCCCCCAGGGGGGATGGCCATGCTGCAATCCCTTCTCTTCCATTCTCCTCTTGGGATCTTGGGCGCGTACACACACGCGCCCGGCGTGCGTTTTAAGTCACCGGGTCCAGGATGCGAACCGCGGTAGACTACGTGGGAGTCCAGTGACATAGCCATTATGCTAACTGCTGGTCCCTTTAGTATATTTTTAAAAAGAACCTGAAAACAAATACACTAAAACTGGTAACAGGATACATCTGAGTGGTAAAAAAATACATATATATGGGTAATCTTAGTTTTTTTATTCCTGTCTATACTTTGCATATTATTTTTTGCTCTCATGTTTTATTTATTTATTTTTATATTTTATTGTATCCTTTTATGGTTTTGATTTCTTACAGTAAACTTATAGTCAACATGAAAATCGTCATTTAGAAAGCACTGGGAACTTCAGTCCAAAGTTAGACTCCTCAAGGATAAGAAAATAATTTCATGTAGTTCCTGAATAGCTATGTAATAATGTCCCTTTCTGTTTTAGGATCTAAACACAAGACCATGGTTGAAGCTCGTAATGGGGCTGGTCCAATTAAGTCCTATCCTAGACCAGGATCAAGATTAAAGATGCAAAATGGCAATAAGGGGTCAGGACTACAGAACAAGACATTTCATTGTGAGATCTGTGATGTTCATGTTAATTCAGAAATTCAACTCAAACAGGTAATGTATCCCAACTTAGTGTACACTATTGCTGGTGGTTGCCACTTGCCAATGTATCTCCTCATCTGCAGAATAGTCCTCACTGTGCCCACAGTTAAACTACCAATCTTAATGGGATTGATAGAGTACACCACAGGCAGAAGCTATGTGGAAGAAAGTCAGTACCAAATATTTGAGCATCTACTATTATTATATGTCAGGTCCCACACTAGGTGTAAGAGATAGAAGGAAGAGACCAGCAGTCACTTGGAGCTTATGGCCGAGCAGGGATTTCTGGTAAACTGAGATGCTAAACCTGTCTCCTAAGGACCCCAAATCTAGTTAGGGAGACAGGCTCGTCAGTAACAGTAGTAATATCAGGCAAAACTTCCTAAGAGGTAAAGAGAACAGGTGCAGGACAGAGGCATTACAACGGGATAACTGTGTTAATTTAGAGATTGCAATGTTTTTACCCAACCCATCTTGGAACTATGGACATGTAGTGGGGAACGGAGACACTGCCACCTGGAAATGTATCTATACGTGGAATAAAACTTACATTTAGACTTAGCTAATGCATCAAACTTTTTCAGCACATTTCTAGCCGAAGGCATAAAGATCGAGTTGCAGGAAAACCATTGAAGCCAAAATACAGCCCGTACAACAAACTGCAGCGGAGCCCAAGCATTTTAGCAGTAAGTATACCTTAAGGGCTTAGCTCCTTGGTGGGGCAGACGTCAGAGTTTGGCAGGGGTTGTGGGTAAGGCAGGCTAGAGACTAATCAGCCATGAAATGTTTTAATAGCCCTCATAGACAGATGCCTTGGCATGCGCTGCTTCATTCTTGCTATAGGACACCTTGAAGAAAACTTCCTTAGAAAAATGAAATTGGATCTCTTTCAGTACTAACACCTTACCTGTTACCAAGACCCTATCAAGACTACCTTCTTCGGTGTATAAAGAAAACTATAGGCTTAGGGACAAGGATAAAAGATACCTGAGGAATCCTGGAATGCATTGCATGGAAGAGGGATTACTTTTGTAAAGCAAAAATCTGTCCACTTAAATTAATATTCTCTCACTTTTTGCCAATTTATTTTGTGTGTGTGTGAGAAAGTAAAATGAATGTTTGTATTGCTTTCTTTCTATACTAGCAGGCGTGTTAGTAATCAGCCTGTCTTACCTGCTCCCAATATGTACCGTTTTCCATTTCTTTGCAAAAATACCTAAGGGCTCCAGCAATAGGTGTCATATAAATACCCAGATGGATGGATTCTGTAATCTCCTGGGACTCAGCCCAGTTTGGTTTTCAGTCTGGAGATGAAGGTGGGATGAGCCAGCTGGAGGCAATGCAGAGATTACCTTCCAGCTTCCCTAAAGCCTCCAGCTGAGGCTGCAAGCAGGTGTTACCTGCATTAAGCAAATCCAGATTGCAAATCTCCTCCTGATTGCAGAAAAGAGAATTTAAGGATTGATTTCTTCACAGGGAGATTCCACCCTGAGAGTCCTTTAACTAGAGAAAGTTTCTAACCCACTTCTAGCTTTTTTCCCAACAACAGGAATTTGACTTAGCTGTAATTTTCCAAATGCTCATTAAGGGGCTAGCATGCCAATAGTGAACTGACTTTTGTTTTCTTAACCCTTCATGGGACCCTAATGTTCTATACCAGTTACCCAACTTCCATGCAGCTTATCTAAGAGAAGTAAAGGGTCATGCAGTCTCCAAAACAAAACAAAACCACCAACAAAACTGTCAGCTCTCAGTTGCACTGTGGTTAAAGACAAGTCTAAATTTCAAATTGCCTAAGCAGAAACCTTGTTTGTTTGTTTGTTTTTTTCATTCCTTCTGAGCAGCAGTATAAAATATCTTTACTATCTATTCAGAGAGGCTCTCCTATGTATACTCTAGCCCCTTGTAAAGACCACCTAAAGAACTGAAATGGGTCCAACTCTGTGGCTTCGTAGTTAAGGGAGCCAGGTCCCATATGGCTGATTGCTATTTGAGTCTCGGCCCTAGCAGCTTGAAAAATGTGTTGGAAGTGTTCTAAATCCCAACAGGATGGAGAAACAGAAGAGAAAGGACTATAGTGTGATTACCCCCCACTGGGGGTGCTATCTCTCACACTTTCTTTCTGTTTCCCCAACTCTCTCTGGTGAGCACCCTCTGTCAAAAAATAAAAAAATAAAAAATAAAAAAGAAAGAAAGAAAAAAAAAAAAGAAAAAAGAAAGAAAAGAAAAGCTGAAATGGAAACCTTCAAAGTAAAGCAATGCCAAGACCCATTGAAACCAGAATCATTTTTTGACTTCTGTGAGTAAAGATTTTTAAAATGTAAGCCTTCTCAGGGCCAGCAGATGGCGTAGCAGTTATGTCACTGGACTCCCACATAGTCGACCGCGGTTCGGGTCCCGGACCCGGTGGCTAAAAATCTCACGCTGGTCTCGTGTGTGTGTTTTTCTAAGATCCCCAGAGGAGAATGGAGGAGAAGGGATTGCAACGTGGCAAGACACCCCTAGGGGGTGTCTCACTTTCCCTCTCACTGTCTCTGTCTCTGTCTCTCTACAAATGCAAGAGCCCTAAGGCAAAAATCTCTCTCTAAAAAAAAATGTAAGCCTTCTCAGTATTTTTTTTAACTTATGAAAATGTATCTGCAGTGCTTTTATTTAACAACAATACCTCTGACCCCATTCCGATTTTCTTCCTTCATTAGGCAAAACTTGCATTCCAGAAAGATATGATGAAGCCTTTGGCCCCAGCCTTCCTGTCCTCCCCACTGGCGGCTGCAGCAGCTGTATCCTCTGCACTGTCACTCCCACCCCGGCCATCCGCCTCACTCTTCCAGGCACCAGCCATCCCTCCAGCTCTTCTGAGGCCAGGACATGGGCCCATCCGCGCCACTCCTGCCTCCATCCTCTTTGCTCCATACTAACATCAGCAAGGCCCTCAGAGGGTAGAGGCTAGTAGGAAAGCTGAGAGGGAAAGCCAAAAGGATTCAGCAATTTTAGCATTTGTGTTGCAGTACCCTCACCCAACCACAGAATGCAGTATACCACCCTGAGCCCCAACTCCAAAGAAAAACTACTCACTAGATTCAAGAGTGCTTTTACGGACCGCTCCTGTAATTTAGGCATCTGAGCAGCCTAGGCTTTCTCTCCCTACTCACCCAGCAGACCCCATTCAATTTGTGTATCTGAGATACTTGGTTTCTTGAAGCTGTATCAGTTAGAGATTTTAAAAAAGAAAGTTATTTTCTATTTTTCCATGGGTGTGATCTGGCTTAAAAACATAAATTACGGAATATTTTCCTGACAGACTTGAAAACTAGGATCTTCCTCAGATGTCTGTAAATAACTCTAGAATCCAACTGGGCATATTCTAGTGCAGAACAAAAATAGATGAACGCAAGTGCTTACTCGTGGGTACCATCTTACCAACGGATCACGTCTTCTTTTTTGGTGTACTATTGTTGACAGGGATTGTGTACTGTTTTAGACCTAAGTACTGTTGTATCCTGTGTAGTACTAGCTCTGTATTTCTTGTCTGAATTAAATATTTTTAGTTGCTGTGTAAATGTTAGGAAGCAAAACAGCTTTGAATTTTCTCTTTCAGAGAGCAAAAATAATGTATTTTCTTTATTTCACATTTTATTTGGAGATATTTAAACAAAATAGAAAGCCATATAACATAGCTATAATTACAACCTCTTTGCTATTTTTGTTTAACTTATTTTGTAGCTTCCTTACTGGTTTGAGTTGCTAAGCAAATATATACAAACAGAAAAAGAGCTTCCTAAATTGTACATTTTGGCACCTCTTGTGCATTCTGCAAGAAGACAATGAATCCATGTATTTCTACGTAATGATCTCCTTCATTTTTAACCTGTTTTCATTCGTAATGATGCTACATAACTTTGTGGCTCCCTAATGCAATAATGTACAGAAGATTAAAAATATATATATTGAACATTTTGTCTCTCTGTTCACTGAATATGTTGCAGGTCATGCTCCCATGCCCCCCTTTCTGAGCTGATTACCAACAAGACCGGAATGTTTGCGATATCAGGGGCAAGAGGTATCATAAAACAATAAAACAGAGTGAACTCTTTTAGAGCATCTATATCTGCAATCTGTAAATGGTAAAATGTCTGTGTATTTTTTTAAATGTACCTTTTCAATAAAAGTCCAAAAAATAATCTGTTTGTATTTTCAAAATTATTTTCTCCTGAGACACCTCCAGGTTGAAATCATCTGATGAAAGGTTTCCAGTAGGTGTGAAGATTGCATCTTACATATTTAGCATTTGCAACTCTTATTTGCAGCTTATTTATTTGTCATGTTTATTCATTACGGTTCACAGCATCTGCATGAGGCAAAACGTTACTGCTGTTTTCCTTCCAAATCTCTATCAAGTTAGGCCAAAGTTGTTGTGAGTTCACCCAAAAATCACAACAGCAGCTGGCTACATAATTTTGGCTCTGGTGTTTTAAACTCATTGAGGGCCCACTGGACACGAACTCTTCTTTTATTGGTGCCCATGGCATTCATCTCATTTTAGAGAATTTTTTCACTTTATCCAGTCAACCCAAACTTCTGTCCTTTCACCTCATACTATTACTATTATTATTATTATTATTATTATTATTTTATTTAGTGTAAGAAAGAAAGAAGTAGCACAGGACACATAGAGTGAAGTATTTTTGAGAGTTTGTCACAATCCTTCCTGCAGCTTTCCGACCAGCTAGGACCACAAGTGGGCCCCGTCACCACCCTGACTGCTTAGATTGGTCCAAGAACTGAACTGGGGCTTCCCACGTGGCCCCAGAAATGGCACAGTGGTGTGTCTCTGACTTACACCACTGCAGCTGGGCCTCTAGTACTTTTTAAACATAAAGATCAATAGATCACTGTTTGTTATGGTAACTTACTGCTGCTCAACAAACTAACATTTAGTAACTTAAAATACCAACCATTGGGGTCTGATGGTACAGTGCAGTGGTGAAAAGCAATACTCTGAAAGGCAATCCCAAGTGGGAAGGTTCACTGTTCAAGTCCGGAGACTCCCCAAAGTACATCAGACAAGCACGTGCCAGGATCTGTGGTTAGCTGAAACTGGGGGTAGACCGTGGCACTGGGACCTTGTTGGGGTACTTTCTCTCTCTTTCTCTTGCTCCAGGAGGATATAAATTAATGTTTTAAAAATTAGCCACTTTAATATATCAGTATTTCATATTTAAGTAATTTCAGCAATGTTTGTCAAAGTTGTTCTTCTGTCCCCTGTGCCATCAGTAGTACTCAGATGGCAAGTGGGCTGAGCTGAAGGACCCAAAATGACTCCACTCACATGTCCTGTGGGTGGAAATGGTTGGAATTTGAGGTCTTCTGGAACAGTCCAGCAGAGAGCCAACACTGGTCTCCTCAGCATTGCATCATTATTTTGTTCAGTCTTTCCAGAGCGAAGCCTGGGTGGAAGTCAAAAGACTTCCTAGAAAATAATGTCAAATCTCCCATGTGTCTACCAGGCTTCGTTCTAATGATCTAAGATTAATATAGATTAATACAGATTCAAGGGAAAGAAAATTGGATTTCATTTCTCAGTGTGAAAGGAGCAAAGAGGCTGGCCCTATAGTGCAGTGGTTAAGCGCTGTGCAGAGGGAGCCAGATCCCACATGGCTGACTGCAGTTTGGATTCTGGCCCTGGGGCTTGAAAAACATGTGCATACATATGCCCGAGATCCTAACAGGACAGAGAAAATAAGAAAAAAGGACTGAGGCATGACCAGGCCTCATTGAGGTGATGAACTGGTGTTC